ACTGACCCATGATTTTATGTCTGCTGGAGCTTTAGGTCTTGGTCATGACCACGGCAGCTCAGGTTGTCACAGCTGCCTTCAGGACAGGAAGGAGGGGGTGGGGCTGGGACCAGCCGCCTGCCCAGAGGAAAGGCTTTCCAACAGGCTGCTTACAGCTTAAATTTGTTACCATTGGAAGCACCAGATGGGATACCTTGTCCTTTGTGTTGCTGGAACTGCAAGTCTCTAATTTCTCTTTCAATTTGAAAACTTTCTATGTTTGTTATGTGCATAAATATAAAAATAAAAATTAAAAATAAATACACTAATAAGATTGTGAAAAACAATCCCCCTTCACTTTTTGGAGGTAGCCATTGTCTGCAGTTTGGTGCATATTAACTATGGACTGAATATGGAACCTTAGTTTTCAGTGTTCCTGTCGCCCTTGTTTGTGACCAGTATGTGGCCATATGTACAGGTTCGTTACTAATCTACAACTCGTTTTTTTTTTTTTTTTTTTTTTTTTTCATTTAGCGGTATAGACTAGACGTTTTTCCCATGTCAGGACAGACAGCTGTGCACCATTCTGTCTGGCTGGTACATCATACTTTATACTTGTTGTTCTCCTGCCTTCATTGATCACTACCCACCTTGTGTCCTCTGTGCTGGTGTCTGACCTTGAAGAACGGCATCATCTCCGCTTCCTTGCCTTCTGGCTTCCCGTTGGAATCAGCTGATAAAAGATACTGAGGGATCAGAGGGCGAGTGCTGAGAGAAGTCAGAGCATTTCTTACTCGCCTCCGCCCCTTGCTGGGGCTCCAGGGACACCCTTCCGTCTCCTGCTCTGTTGCCTCAAAGGCAGAAGTGGCTTCCTACAGTGGAGAGTCCTCGGGTGCTTCACCACCCCCTGGTTGGTTCCTTTAACTCTAATCACATAGCTATAAAACCCCCCATGATTCACTTCCTTTGGTTAATTCCTCTGCATGTGCCATCTGTTTTCCTGCCACGACCCCCACTGATCTGGATGTCACTGCATAGACGTACCATGATTCATCTATTTGGTTCCCTATTGATGGACATTTGAATTTTTTCCCAGTATTTTGTTCTTAAAATGAGTGTTGCTAATGAACATTCAGGTACACATCTTGTAAAGTATTTGTTGGAATGTTGCTGTCGGTAAAAGTCACCGAAATGGAAACGCTGGGTCGAGGGGCATGACTGTTAGAAATTTCAGTAGCTGTTGTCCAGTTGCTCCTGAACGAGTCCACCAGTTTCCATTTCTACAATGTGTTGTTTGAGCTACAATGTGTAGCTCAGTCGGTTAAGTGTCTGCTCAGGTCATGATCTCAGGGTCGTGAGGTCAAGTTCCACATCAGGCTCTGCGTTAAGTGTGGAATCTGCTTAAGATTCTCTCTCCCTCTCCCTCTGCCCCTCTGGCTCATGCGCTCGCTCGCTCTCTCTCCCTCAAGTAAATAAATCTTAAAAAAATTTTAGAGGTAAGGCTTGTGACTTACAACAAATAACTTTAACTTAGAAGGATATAAAGGAAAAAGCACTTCTCATTGTTTCATCCTGTTTCCTGGAGTTAACCACATCAGCAGTTAGCTGTGTATCCTATCGTGGTTTTTTCTTTATGAAATTTATGTGCTTATCGTAGAATAAACTCATGTATAGATAGATAAGGTAAATTCATTTTTATGTGTGTGTGTGTGTGTGTGTGTATCTCTGTCTCTTCTGAGAGCTCATTTGTAGACTCTGCTCTACTGACCTATTTGTCTTTTCCTGTGCCAGTGCCCATCGATCTTAAGAATTACAGCTTTGAGTTGGTTTTGATATCTGGTGAGGCATATCCTCATCTCATTATTTTTTATTTAAAGAAATTTCTGGGCTCTTCTTGGGCATGAAGTCTTCAGAGTAACTTTGGATTTAACCATGGGTTTTGACAAGTCAGACTGGAGTTACAGAGAACTGACATATTTCCAATATTGAAACTTCTCACTTAGGAGCCTATTATGTGTCTTTATTTATTCAGTTCTCTTATGTCCGTTAGTAAAATTCTTGCCCATTTCCTCCTGTTTATTTTTAGATATTTTATAGATTTTGTTGCCACCATGAGTGGAATCCTTCCCCTTACATCTTCTCCTCGGTGTTGTTTGCATAGTTTTTAAGAAGCTGTTGATTTTACCTTCTTTTTTAAAAATTTAAATTCAATTAGCCAACATATACGACATCATTAGTCTCAGACGTAGAGTTGAGTAATTCATCAGTTGCTTTTAACACCGAGTGCTCATCACATCATGTGCCCTCCTTGATGCCTGTCAGTAACCCCATCCCTCCACTCCCCTCCCCTCCAGCAACCCTCAGTTTGTTTCCTGTAGTTAAGAGTCCCACATGGTTTGTCTCCCTCTCTGATTTCTTCCCATTTAGTTTTCCCACCCTTCCCCTATGTTCCCCTGCACTGTTTCTTATATTCTTCATATGAGTGAAACCGTGTGATAATTGTCTTTCTTTGACTGACTTATTTTGCTCAGCATAATACCTTCTAGGTCCATCCACGTCATTGCAAATGGCAAGGTTTCATTTTTTGATGGCTGCATAGTATTTTATTGTATAAATGTATCACATCTTCTTTATCCATTCCTCTGTTGATGGACATCTGAGCTCTTTCCACAGTTTGGCTATTGTGGACATTGCTGCTATAAAAATTGGGGTGCAGGTGCACCTTAAGATCATTATTTTTATATCTTTGGGGTACAATCGCTGGGTCATAGGGTAGCTCTGTTTTTAACCTCTTGAGGAGCCTGCAAGAACTTATGGATTTTTATGGGACACCTGGTTGGCTTAGCTGGAAGGGCATTTGACTCTTAATCTTGGGGTTGTGAGTTTGAGGCCCCTGTGGGGTGTAGATTACTTAAATAAATAAAACTTAAAAAAAAAAAAAAAGCTGGGGGGCGCCTGGGTGGCTCAGTGGGTTAAGCCGCTGCCTTCGGCTCAGGTCATGATCTCAGGGTCCTGGGATCGAGCCCCGCATCGGGCTCTCTGCTCAGCAGGGAGCCTGCTTCCTCCTCTCTCTCTGCCTGCCTCTCTGCCTGCTTGTGATCTCTCTCTGTCAAATAAATAAATAAAATCTTAAAAAAAAAAAAAAAAGCTGTTGATTTTTTGTAATTTAATCTTCTAATTACCTATGTATTAGTTCTAAAGTTTTTTTTCAGTTGTTTCTCTTCGCTTTTCTGGATGGACAGTTAAATCTGCAAATAATAACATTTTATCACTTCATGGTATTTATATGTAATTTCATGTGTTATTTCCTGGCTAAGCTATCTGAGTGAGGAGGGGGTGGGGGGCGTGGATGTTCCATTTCAGGTGAGCATCAGAGAACGTGACACCAGTGAAACAGTGGTGTGGCGGAGAATGTCCCAGCAGGCCTCAAGGGGAGAAACAACAGGGCTATGTTCAGGGAGTTGGAAGAAGAAAGGCACAGGACACAGACAAGGCTGGGAGGTGCAAGAGATGGTCTAAAGAGTAAAATAGGGGCACAGTCAGAAGCTGCTAGTCTCTAAGGAGCAATGACTTCATTTTAAAGGGATTGAGAATTTAGTGAAAGGTGTGTGAGGCAGAATGGCACCCCAAAGATGTCCACACCCGCATCCCTAGAATCCATAAATATGTCCCATCATGTGGCTGAAGGGGCTTTGCAGATGCAGTTAAGGCTACAGACCTGGGGCGCCTGGGTGGCTCAGTGGGTTAAAGCCTCTGCCTTTGGCTCAGGTCATGATCTCAGGGTCCTGGGATCGAGCCCCTCATCGGGCTCTCTGCTCATTGGGGAGCCTGCTTCTCCCCCTCTCTCTCTGCCTGCCTCTCTGCCTGCTTGTGATCTCTCATCTGTCAAATAAATAAATTAAAAAAAAAAAAAGACTACAGACCTTAAAATGGGGAGATTATCCTGGATTCTTCAAGTGGGCCCAACCTAAGCACAGGAGCCTGAGAAGCCAAGAGACGTTTCTCTGACTGGAGGCAGAAGAAAGGTGTGGTAGAAGGGCCATACGGAGAGATTCTGTGTGAGAGGGATCTAGCCCGCCGTGGCTGCAGGGGGCCACGTAGAGACCAGGAGACTGTGTGATCCGGAGCAGGGAGCTGGGGACCTTGGCCCTGCAGCTGCAGGGAATTGCCTTCAGCCAGCAGCTGGAAGGCAAATGAGCTTGGAGGCGGCTTCATCTTCAGAATCTGCGGAGCGGAGCCTGGCCCTATGGCCGGGTCTGTCTGGACCACCCCAGTTTATACCTGTAGTCCCAGTGTAACGATTAACCGTGCCCCATTTCCATCTCAAAAGTTGAAGAAGATGAAGAGCTCTACGGCCCCCCTCAGCTCTATGCTGCCCCCTTGGCTTTGGCTCTTGGGAGACCCCACGCAGAGAACCCTGCTGAGCCCCACCAGAGCTGGACTTCGGACCGCCAGAACCCTGAGCCTCCGAGTCTGTGGTTTCTCTGTTTCAGCCGCAGTGGAACACGAACACAGAGGGGTTCGAGCAGGAGAGCAATGTCCAATTTTGTGTTATTAACGGATCCATCCCACTTCTTTGTGGAAAGTGGATTTGGAAAGAGTACAGTGTGGAGGCAGGGAGCTTTCCTCTGGGACTGCAGTGGTGGCGCGGACCAGGGTAGTGATGGGGGGGCAGGGGCTGTGACTGGGGACTTACCTGGCGGGTTGGGATTGCCAGAATTTGGTCATTGATTGGATGCTGGGGATGAGGGAGAGGAGGGATGCAGGGATGATTGCTGATTTCTGCCTTGGGTGCTGAGTGACTGCTGAAGCTGTTTCTTGAGACCAGGACTAGCAGGTTGGAGGATGCCACGTGGGGAGCTCAATGGTAACTTTAGGTGGCTCTTCCTGTGGCCATTCTCCCATACGCACTTATTTTAAGGTAGAGTGTATCACCAAGGTGACTGCTTTATCCTTTAAGACCTAAATTGGTTTATTTTTTATTTTTTTTATTTTTTTATTTTTATTTTTTTATTTTTTAGGTCATGTAGGAAATCGTAAATCATGTGAAGATGGGACTCTTGGTATTTGTGCGCAATCTGCTGCTAGCCCTCTGCCTTTTTCTGGTACTGGGATTTTTGTATTATTCTGCGTGGAAGCTCCATTTACTCCAGTGGGAGGACTCCAGTAAGTATGGCCACTCCAGCCCATCCCCAGGAGAAGCCCAGCCCAGAGCGCTACCTGGGAGCCAAGGGGCTGGGGCTGCGGGGCTCACCTATTCTTCAGAGACAGGCAGTGAGAGGAAGCCACACCCTCCTGCTTGGTAGGGACTCAGACCTTGCCTGCCATTTCTGTTGCTGTAGGTTGATGTTTTTCAAAAAAACTGCATGCCATGGCGTATCCTTTTATGATCGCGGTAAAAACACGCTATTCTGCAATAAAACCCCAGACCCTACCAGTAAGTCTAGTTTTTTGAAGGCTGTTCTTTTTAATGACTGTGGTGTCTTGCCACGCCCATGTGTCTTCACTGCCTTCGGGGTGGGGATTGAAGTCGATTTTCTCCTGCCCTGAAAACAGTCACCTCTACCTCTTCCTTTGAATTTTCACTTTTCAATTTAATATTGTCTTTGCTTTATTGCCCCTGAAGAAATTTTGCTTACCTAATTATTTTGCCCTTCCTGGCCCTGAACTTGTACCTGAATGGAAAAACGGCTTTTCCTCCCACCTCCCCGTATCTCCTAATCCCTTTCTTTGGCTTGTACCTTCGGCCTCTGGGCTGCACAGTGTTTCCCACCTAGCCTTCTGCTTAACTCCGACTCGGTTTCGATTCACCCAGTGCGGCCCGTGGTGTGGTTTTAGGCTCGGGGTTGAAGGGCTCACTGTGGGCTGCATTGACCTTTGCATGTTCTCTTCTTGGAGGTAGCTTGAAGTGTCCCACAGTGGCCATAAGTAGTTTTCCTTTTGGTTCTTTTGTCTGTTGTCTGTCTGAGCCTGGATCTTGATTCCTAGTGAATGTGATTTCTCTAAGATCATTTTGTTTTTACAAACGTCAACTGGATACCAGTATAGAATTCACTCAAGAGTAGAGCCGGTCTCGGGGTGCCTGGGTGGCTCAGTGGGTTAAGCCTCTGCCTTCGGCTCAGGTCATGATCTCGGGGTCCTGGAATCAAGCCCCACATCAGGCTCTCTGCTCAGCGGGGAGCCTGCTTCCCCCTCCCCTCTGCCTGCCTCTCTGCCTACTAGTGATCTCTGTCAAATAAATAAATAAAATCTTAAAAAAAAAAAAAAAAGAGTAGAGTCAGTCTCTAGGTGTGAGGTTAAAATCTGTTAGAATGAATTAGAAGAGGCCGCTGGCAACTGGCCTGCTAGTGTATTGAGACCTTAGTATGGGAACCATTCCAATGAAGTAGTTCACTTATTTCTTACCTGGCCCAAACTTCTGAAGCAGTTTCAAGCCAATTTTTTAAAATGTAGTGTTTATCTTTAATTTCTTGATTTATATTAGATGTTTAAGTGGTTCTTACATGCATAGCTTATAATTTTAAATAATTATTTTGGGTTTCCAAAGTTTATTTAAATTTCTCTCGTCCAACTTATTTTTAAAATCAAGGAGACTACCCAGAATAAAGTGTTTGTGTCAGGGCCATACAAAATTCTGTGGTGAAAGGCACTGTGTATATCCATAATGGATGGATTCAGCTGTATCTGTAAAATAGATGGGAACAGATTCAAGGAATGGAGGTCTCCTTTTTTCTTGAGAACTACTGACCTGTAGACAACATACCCAAGAATTAGATAATATTTTCCCAGAGAAGTTGAGAAGGACATTAACTTTATGGAAAGACTATTATATATCAGGTTTTAGGCTAGACAACTTAGAAATCTAAGTTAATTTACTTCTTGGGGCTCAGTCGGTTAAGCATCTGCCTTCCACTAGGGTCATGATCTCTAGGTCCTGGGATCGAGTCCCACATCAGGCTCCCTACTCAGCTGGGAGCCTGTCTGTTCCTCTCCCTTTCTCTCTGCTTTCCCCCCATACTCTGCTCTCCCTCCCCTCTCAAATAACTAACTAAACTTTAAGAAAATTTGCTTCTCACTCTAAACATGTGGAGATGCTGTTATCCCTGTTTTCCAGCTGAGTAAACAGAAGTATTTAATTGATTTACCTAAGTTGTACACCTAATTAGTAGAGCTGGGATTGAATCCTGATTTATCTTTATGAAAAAAAAATTTTTTTTAAAGATTATTTATGTATTTGAGAGAGAAAGAGAGAGAGCATGCATGCACAAGCAGGGAGCAGAGGCAGAGGGAGAGGGAGAAGCAGGCCTCCTGCTGAGCAGGGAGCCAGGACATGGGGCTGGATCCCAGAGCTCTGGGATCATGACCTGAGCCGAAGGCGGGCTCTTAACTGACTGAGTCCTCCAGCTGCCCCCAGTTTTAAAAAAATTTTTTAAGGGATTTTATTTATTTATTTTAGAGAGAGATGTGGGTATAGGAGCAAGTGGGGAGAGACAGAAGGAGAGGGAAACAGAATCTTGAGCAGAGCTCCAGATCAGGGCACAGAACAACCTTGAGATTATGACCTGAGCCAGATCAAGAGTCTGTCAAGAGTTGGACGCTTAACTGAGTGAGCCACCCAGGCATCCCCTGATTTGTCTTTAAAAAAACTATGTCCATTATGTTATTAAAAAGTACAGTAAGTACGAAGACTAAGGGTAGGACTGAATTCTGTATTCTGATTGGTAAGAAGAGAGGAGTGGGATTCTGAAGAAAGGGTAGAGAGCATCAGGAGGGTGGTGGAAAAAGAAAAAGGAGGGAGTAAGGGGAAGGGAAAGAAAGAAAGTGCCTCAGAAGACAGGGGTGTACGAGGCAGGAGATGACGTGGTGCTGTCACGAGTGAGTGCTGTAGGCTTGCTCTATTAGTTTAAGAATTATCTTTCCTGTGAGTGAATTTCCTGTGAGTGAATTATCAGCTGACTAACCACTGTTTGCATCTTTTTGTTATTCCGACTTCCACGCCTTTCAGATACTTGGCTTTGAATAGGTTGTTTTAGACGGACTTACTGGAACATTGTTTTCTGTGCTGTCACATCGGAGAGCAGGAGAGCAGGGTACTACGACTAACTGTGATGGCTAACCAAGGCCCAGAAGGGGCAAAGTCCGCTGGAGGGAGCTCCTGAAGGCAGGGAGATGACAGTGGAGGAGGGAGAGTTAGGCTGTGGTTGATACCTGTGCTGCGGCTAATAATGAGAGCAGTGGCTTAGTGATGAGAGTCTCAGGTCTGTGTCCATCCTGTCATGAGAACGTCACATTCCCAGTTCCATTCGATCCTCCTAGTGTAGATGGATCATTGCTCTCCTGTCTTACAGACATAGATGCTCAGGCTTCAGAGAGGCTTAGTGAGAGTCTGTGTGTCTTCCATGTGTGGGCATTTACAAGTTTTGAAATATAAATGTCTTTAGCATTATGTTTCCTGCATTTTTATACTTTTTGTGACTTACCAAGATGATGTATTGGAATTCCTTCATAGTGTGGTGGTAGAGAGGGGTCTAGAGATTTCTATTATTAAATTACTAACTTAATAAGTAGTATATTCCTATTATGGGCCATATGCTGCTCTGTGTAAACCGGATGTAAATTGCATAGGCCTTTATGCTCATGGCCTGTAACACGAGAAAGAACTCAAACAGCTCTCACATGTTGCATTCTGAAAGAGACGTCTGTATGAAATGCCCTTTTGGAGCATAGAATCCTTTCCAGATGGAAAATATCATGATTTCATTAATCCCAAGACATACTGTGGCAGGATGCAGACTGCTTTGTTTTGAGCTGCTTAGAGCTGTGCGTGGTCAAGTCTTGGTCAGATCGCTAGGACTTGGGTCAGATGCTTAACCTGAAAGACTTTAAGTATAAGATTGGTCTAGTTACCAACTTGTTTTTAAATCTATTTTTTTATTAAATTTTATTTTATTTATGGAGCCCAGTGTGGGGCCTGATTTAAAGACCCTGGGATGGAGACCAGAGCCAAGATCGGGGTTGAATACTCAACTGACTGAGCCACCCAGGCACCCCTCAACTATTTTTCAAAAGTTCTGTAGCTTGGGGTGCTTGGGTGGTTCAGTTGGTAGAGAGCATGTGACTCTTCATCTCAGGGTCATGAGTTCAAGCCCAGTGTCGGGCATGGAGCCTACTTCAGACAAATAGACAAAACAACAATGCTGAGATACCACCACATATCTATGAGAATGGTTGAAATCTAGAACACTGATAACACCAAATGCTGGTGAGGATGTGGAGCAGCGGGGCTCTCATTCATTGCTGATGGGAGTGCAAAATGGTACAGTGATTTTGGAAAACAGTTTGGCAGTTTCTTATAATACTAAAGATGTCTAACTCTGTGATCTGGTCACATTCTGTGGTATTTACCCAAAGGAGTTGAAAGCTTATGTTCACACAAAAACCCTGCCTACAGATGTTTATAGCAGCTTTATTCATAATTGCCAAAACTTGGAAGCAACCAAGATGTCCTTCAGTAGTTGAATGAACTGTGGTAGATCCAGACAGTGGAGTATTATCAAGCACTAAAAAGAAATAAACTATCAAGTTATGAAAAGACACACAAGAGCCTTAAATGCATGTTTCTTTCTTTTTAAATATTTTATTTATTTATTTGAGAGAGCAAGACAGAGATAGAGACCAAGAGCACAAGTGGGGAGGAGAAGGAGAAGCAGGCTCTGCACTGAGCAGAGAGCCCGATGCAGGCAGGGCTCAATCCCAGGACCCTGGGACCATGACCTGAGCCAAGGCAAATGTTCAACCAACTGAGCCACCCTCGCGCCCCCTGAAATGCATATTTCTAAGTGAAAGAAGCCAATCTGAAGATGCTGTATACTGCATGATTCCAGCTTTATGACATTTCTGGAAAAGGCAAAACTAGGGAGACGATAAAAGGATTAGTGGTTGCCAAGGTTGGAAGTGAGGGAAGTGACATACACACAGGGCGTAGAGAATTTTTAGGGTGGCACATCTTTATGATATCATAATATGAATATGTTTTTGTACTTTTGTCCAAACACAGAGACTATGTAACACGAAGCATAAATCCTTACATCAGCTGTGGACTTTCAGTGTAGTGGACTTTTGAGTGTATACCACTCTAATGAGGGATATTGATGATGGGGGAGGAT